AGCCACTTTGTCAAATGTCAAGAAAGTTAACAAGCTGGTGAAGCATGACTTCCCCCTGATGAACCTATGCTGAATTCTTGCGATGGACAACCTTCCTATTCTTCCTGTGCCTCAGAACGGCTTTCAGAATTGCTAGTTGTTCCATCAGCTTCTCAGGGATGAAGGTGAGGCTAAGTGACATGTAGTTCTCTCTGTCCTCATTCCTGCCCTTCCTGAAGGTAAGATCTTCCCTCCAATCATCATGCATCTCTCCCAGACACCATGATCATTCACATATAATCGAATGGCCTCAGTGTGACACCAGGTAGCTCTTAGCATTTACGTGTTCTTCCCATATGAACTCCAGGATGCATATATGTCTGGTTTGCTTAAGTTTTATCAACCTGATTCTTTTTCACCAAGAGTAACTCCACCTCACAGTAGACTTCAGTCCTATAGTTGGTAACTCTGGACTTTTGAAAGCATAAGACTAAGGCAAAGTAGGCATGTGGCCTCTTCCATGCCTGTTCCAGAGTCCATGCCACAGCCAGCAGCAGACCTGTATTTCTCATTTACCTTTTGTCACATATACTTCAGAAATCTTTCTTGATGCCTTTGACACTTCTCACCATATTCAGTTCTAAGTAGGCTCTAGATTTCTCATTTCCATACTTGAACAGTGTCTGTTCCTTATAGCTTACCTGTTCTTGCACCCGCCTTCTATATACTTTCAGTTTATCTTTGAATTTTTCAGATCTTTGCCCATCCACAAATGTCCCCTTGCATTTTTGCCTGACTTTCTGCTACCTGGGACTATCTTGGAGTGGGTGAATATCAGCCACCTTTCTTTGTCCCTCTTTTCTTCCAGGGGCTTATCCCATGAGTCTCTTCCTCTTTTAAGAGATCAAAGTCCGGCTTCCTGAAAGTCAGGACTGTGGTCCTGCTTTCTGTCTTGCTGTCTCTTAAGAACTCTACAACCTCAACGTCAGTGCAGCCCAAGGCTGTCTCAGACTTTCTCACTTGTAACAGGCCTTTCCTTTTGAGATTAAGTTACCAAAAGACCACCTTCTCACCAGCTGCTCTTCCCCTTTGGTCAGGAAGTTGCCACCAATGCTCTCCAAGAACCTCCCAGATTGCTATACCCTGTCGTTCCTATGTCTGAGGTAAAGTTACAACTCACATTCCATCCCTAATTCATTTCATTATCAAAACCAAACTCTTAAGCTAATGTAAAAGTGCTGCTTTAAAATCCACTTAGTTCCTCTTAAGGATACAAGTGGAAACCAGATGCTAAAGTTAATGTTACATTAGAGATGTACCTACAACTCAAATCAACTGTTAACCTGCAAACTCAACTGAATCAATCTCCCCACAGCTTAAGTGTGGGAGAAGGAAGGATTATCGCATCTGGAAGAATAAAACTAAGGGAAGGAAAAGGAAAGCAAAGTTCTGCCTTCAAGATGGCAAGCTGAAACAGTGGTGAGAAAGAGGTAAGCCAAAATTTATGCATGCTTTTTCCATACCTTCACTTTTTTCTATGAAAAGCATTTACTGCATAGCACTTAATTCAGATATGTTTTATGAGCTGTTGTAAGTCACTTTTCTTCGGAACATCTTTTGAAATTAGGGACTTTTTTCTACCTAGCTGCTAGATTAGTACAAATAGGAGTTTCACAGATTTTCTCCTACCTGCCCACGAAAGTATGATATCAAATAAATAAAAATTTTCTAAAGAAAACATTAAAAAAAAAAAAAAAAGTTTATTTGAGCTCCCATTATCTCACATAAGAAAACAATTAAATTTGTAGCCTCCACAATTACTAGTGTGATTTATTCAACTGAGTGTAGTGTTGAAATAGGTCTAACTACTTTCCCAGGATAGAGACTATATAGAAAAAAGTAGGTGAATCACACTCTCCAATTTACTCACAGTTATAATTGACAGATAAGTTAATACAGATATGATATCAGAAACAAAAGAACTCTTCTCCTTCCTGATAGGAACAGCAGGTTTCTGCAGCCGTTCTGCAGGCTCAAGTTGGCATTACATTCAGGCTAACTTACAAGCAAGAGAGATCTACTAAAATAACATTAAAAAATAATAATAACCGCTTCAAAATTAAACTTCCAAAGCAGACCATAACTGGTCTCCATATTCAATTCAAGAATCAATTTAACAAGTGAACCTAGAAAGACTGGTGCTTTATTGTAGATTTTGCAAGTTCTGTCAGGATTACTAATTTTCACTCAAGTTTAGATGAAGTTATAGGAACAGAGACAAAACCCTGAGCATCTATCCAATTAAGCTTATAAATTGAACTTCACAGAAATAATGTTCTTCATAATCTATTTGTTAGTGCAACAATTTCCTTGAGCCATTCTTATTGTCTTTTTCTGAAAAACAGTATAGAAGCAATTAGAGTGCCTTCAGCACAGAACAGTAGTTGAATGTTTGCTTGAAATATCTTATTTTCTATAAAGCTGCATACAGCATACAAAACTTTTATTTTTTTCACATTATTTCCTTACAAAGATCTAATGTCTATTCAACACCAACAGAATACTGTAAAACTGTAAATACATTATGAACAAGATCGAATCTAGAAAAATCTATATATCACAAGAGTAAACTCTGAATCATCGACAGCAGTTGTCAGATTTCAAAACAAGTAATTATAACTGTTCAATTTTTTTCTTTTACATAACAGATTTTTTAGCTTTGCCCCTTCTTCCAAATCCTTCAAAACCTTTCATTCTCTAATTTAAGAATAGTAAACTACAAAATCTATGATCTAAGCAGCTATTAAGATGCTGCATTCCACAAATCTTATTTCTTAAATTATTTAAACAGCAAAACTCAAAACTTGATTGAGCTTCAGGCACTGATTTGTCATAAAAATAATCATCATGCAGACAAGAAAATAGAAGTGGCAAACTTCTAAAATAAAGAGCAATTACTTGCAGTACAGAAATACTTCTCAATAATTTTGACAGCTCAACCATACATAAACATCACATTTTCACCAAATTCCTGTTATTTACTATTTGAAATCCAGCTGGACATGCATCATTCTGTATCAGTAACACGCAGTTTAGTATAAAATGCATAATGTAAAAACCAAGCACATGTTTCTGTTTCAGGCTCTCATGTCAAATTAATTCTGCCCTCCTCTTTCTCCTGAATACTGCACCTAACTATATTCATCCCTTTCACCCAAAAAATGGCAATAGCAAAACTAACTGTATACATAAGATAAACAATCTCTAATTTGAAACCAAAGGGAAAAAAAAACATTCTTAGCACTAACAATTTTAAGACACGAAAAATATAAGTTGCCCAAGCACACCATCTAGTGGCTGAAAATTAACTTTGGCAAAAATATTCTAGAGGTAAAATTTTGATCTGGCATCTGCAATTTTCTCATCAACAGTTTTCATACCAGAGATTACTCCCTGTTTTTGTTGACACTCCACTGAACTGTACACTCTGAAATGGCTGCTGTGTTAATTGTTCAGCCTGTTTATTCCTTCTTCCACAACTTTACCCCTCACTAACATTTCTCTTTATTGTAAAATACTTATTCAATCACAATCATAACATGTATATTTGTAAAACACTGGTATGCTGAGAATGAGAGGTCATCTGTCAACAACAAAAAAGATATGGGAGAGAAGCATGGGCAAAAGGAGAGTCAAAAGGGGGATAAAAGGGCAGACAAGAGGGGACACAGGGAAGAAAAGGAGAAAAAAAAATCTTAAAGAGGAGCAAGCTTTTATGTACTGGGACACACACACACACAAAAAAAACAAACAAACAAACAAAAAAAAACTCTGTTTTCCTGTGCCCTATTTTTGTCTATACAGAAATAAAACAACTCGAGACCACCTACACTTGAAGTGGCTCTTCACTGAAACAGCCCAGATCAGAATCTTAAATTATTTTTCTAATCGCTTTTATGTAACTGGACACAAAACAGAATTTAGACTTGCTGCTTTTTCTAAACTAAAGACCAGTAGACATTTGTATCTGCCTTTAAAAGTTCATATAAGCTAGTACAAAACTTGAACAGCCTAAAACTGTCTTGGCTGACTATATGTATCATGAGACAGTACTCCAGCAATTTGTCTTCTGTGAAGAAGTTTGAAATACTAGGAGCATCTCAGACTATCTGCCACAGGGAAATTCTCCTTTTTTTCTTTTTTTTTTTTAATGTTTGTAGAAGGGAGTTACACAGAACGTGAAATAACTCAGGAGCCTGTAACTCTGTACAAGACAGGCTCTTTTGGATAAAACTCTGCTTTATGATTTTGAAAATCCTCAAACTTCTTAATGCCAGCACTTCTTCAATCAATCTCATTCCTTCAATAATTCTATCAAAATCTATATTTAGACTTTTTATTTATATAAAATATATTTATACATTTATAAATATATTGATTTTTACATATCCAATGTTTATATAACCAATCTGATATACTGTAATTTTACAGAACACAATATGTGTCCAGTCCTTTTTAATTCATGGAGATCTTCATGAGTAACCATTAAAATGCACTTCCTCTTTATTTTAATTCAGAGGCATAGTGCAATCACAAGCATATTTCACAGAAACTGTAGACATTCCCAACACACACAAAGTATTGTGATCCATTATCCTCCATGAAAGTGAGAAATAAATGTACTTCTTATTTTACTTAAAATATCACTAAATTTCCACATAGGTACACAAATACTGAATATATACTGAAATGTTAAGAATTAAACAGTAAAGCATTTCAAAGCCCTGGAAAGTTCCAGCTGAAGAAAGAAGTCCTACGATAAGAAAAAATATCAATATCCTACAGAAATGTTCTTGCTGATGTACAATTAATTTCAACCCTGCTTAGAGTCTTTTCAGAGAGTAACACAAAGATTTCAGAAAGACAGATTTTTCAGACACAAAACAAGAATGTATGCTCTAAGTATAATACCCTTTCAAAGGGGGCTGGAAGAGATAAGCTTCATAAAAAGCTACGCATACTTTATCATAAATGCTCCCATTGATATCTGCTCCATAAATTGGTGCCACAAAAGTCAAGTTCTTCCAGTATTTACGCTCCAGATCTTCATAATCTATGTATCTTGGGGTGCAGTATCTGCAGAAGAAGAGGTAAGGCAAATTTCAGCTAGTCTTTCAACAACCACCTTCAAAAAGGACTATGCATCTGATCCTGCAAAGAGAATCCTAAAAGATCACTCTATTTCAAATACGCTGGAATACACAGGGAAAAATTATTACTTGTCCTGCCTGAATTCCTGATTTCATAGCTCAGAATGTAACCTCATGCATGACAGCTAGACTGGTTGAAGTTACACACCCATACAACATTTTTCTTTAATCTTCAGGAGATAAACAGAACCCGTCCTGACTGCTTTCATACTAATGTCCTTCTTTTTATTTCTGTTCTTTGTAACAAACACACACGGAAGAGCCACTTCTCTGACAACTGACATTTATTATTTCTCTGCTTCAGTACTATCTCTGCAAACACAGAGGCAGAGCCTACACAAGTCTATCTCACAATAATTCAAATGAACTAATTCTGCCAAGCAACAGTACTGCTTGGCAAAAACAGCGCTTTGCTTCCTTGCTCCTCCCCCAGGAAAAGACTTCAAGAGGAGACAGAGCATTTCAAACAGTGATAGCAAAACTTCTCTCAAGCAATGAAAATAAAATACATAAGAGATCTTTCCTTTTTCCCCTGTAGGATACTATACCTTTATATATCCAAGAAGGTTACTCTTTGAAAACCTTCTGAAAATACAGCATTAGCATACTATCATAAAAAACACTCATTAATAGCCTTTCCTGTGGGATCCTTTTGTCAGGACTCTGTTCTCCCACATTTTGGTCTTCAGGAAAGAAAACATGTACTCCTTCTACTGCAGCTCTGAGAAAACAGTTCATCATTAGCACTGCCAGATTACTACAGCTGAACCACTGGAAAGAAACCCTGAATATATATGAACAAAGTACACCACGTGATAAAACAGAACAAAGATAAGCAGTTAACAATATACATCTTAAACAATTAATTTTTAGCAACAGAGTTTTTATTTACACCATTTTTCACTATATGGCTCCAGAAAACGACCTGTGTTTCTGACACTGAGTAATAAGGATACATAAATTCAGTTACTATAACAAGTATCTCCACTATGGAATGCAGGTATGCCCATATTTCCCTGTAGACAGGGTGGAGAAGCACGCTGTTTAAATGGTGAATTGAGAACACCTAAACAAATAAAAGATGCAATGCATTAGACAGCATTAAAACAGACCATTGTTTTAAATGGAGCTGTGACTTTCATTCAGATGTTCATGGTCCTTTCCTCTTTTCCAAAGGAAAGGGATATCACCATAGTATTTAAGGACAGGGAAGCTTTCTTCATAAAGGAATAAAAGTCTTTTTTTATAAGATTATAAGAGGTCCCAGTTCTTTAATAGCTTAAGAAAAATAAAGAATATTAGCAGTGTCACAGGAAGTGACATGTTCTCAAGAGCAGTTACAAATATTCAGAGAGACTCAATAATTCATTAAAAATTCTCCCAAATGTTCTTGACTTTAACTATGAAGTTGTAAACTGCTTTCAATAAAAAAGGTATAAAAACTGAAATCAGAAATGCTTCCCAAATACATTCCAGGTATTAAGCATTCTTGAATCTATTTTAAAAAATTGTTTCTCATTCTACCATGAATTAATCAAATACACATTTCAACCATACATGAATAGATATCATAGGAATTGACCTAACTTTCTATTTACTCTCTCCTCTAACAGTTCTGAACAAATACATATAAACAACCACAAAAACAGACTTCCATTCCTACTTATCAGGAAAAGAAACTTCTGTGTGATAAAACCACTTTTTTCACAAAAAGTACAAAAGTAGATGTACAGATATTTTTAAATTCAAAAAAAGAGATCAGTTTTCCACTTCTACACATGCATGGATACTACAGAACATTTTCTAAGAAGCCTCTTCAAGAGCTCTTACTAGTTTTTTTTTAATCTTGGTAACAGCTCCCCTCTAAATTTTAACTTCTTAAATTAGTTAACAAGATAAACTTTTCTTCAAACTAAGCCATTATTATTTTGCTTTCTCTAACTCATTATTTTCAAATATCTTCTCTCTCAACGATTCTTTATGTCACAATCCAAAAATCATTTTCCACCAGTTTTTGAGAAGTACTGAAGTAGAATATATTGTTTTACATTGGCAAAAGGAATGGGGAAGTATTCCTTCTACCATTTCCCTCTCTCCTCACTCACCAAGCTGAAGCTTTTATAGTGTAGTGCCCAGCCCTTTTCAGCACCTCTTTTTCCTTCGTTAATAGCTGTTTTGCCATACCCAGAACATGGAGTTTCTCTAAGTACAACTGTGTTCTAGATCCCTTTCTTTACTTCCAACATATGCAACAGCCACTTTCAACAACAGAAGAAAGATTCATATTGTGGTATGCTTCTACAACTAAAGAGATAGAAAAACTTCCGTGAAGTACATTAAAAAAATAGTAATAATAATCACCATCATCCTATTACCACACTTCAAAGAAATCACAATATAGTAACAAATAAATACTAGCCATTTTAAGCAAGGACCACATATACATACTTGTCACTGTTGGCCAGCTGCTTGAATTCCTTCACTGTCATTGGCTTTTTCTGAATGTTATATTGTGTGAAGAGCCCTGACTGGCCAGTGACCATCTGCTGAATTGGAGCAGGAATCACCAGATCTTCAATATCATCATAATGTTTTCTTGGCTTCCATTCCTTTGGTGGGATAACCTGAAAATTTGGGTGAAAAATACAGAATATCAACAGCTGCCACACCAATTCCAAATATTATGGAAAATCCAAAGAATCAAATATGCCCACATGGTGAATTTACTGCTTACCAGCTGCTACACTTAACTACATGATCATGTAAGTGCACCTAGATGGTAGAGAAACTTAAAATGGCCATAACATCATCTTCTGTTGCTCAGTTCACAAGCACTAACCCACAGCAATTCAGACCATGCGACTGTGCAAACATACACGTCTAACACAAATGGACAGAAATCCTTTACAATCAGAAAACAATACAGTGCACAAGCACTGCTCAATACAGAATTGTTATCCTCAGTGTAAGTAAAAAGCAAACTTCCAGCTGCTCATGGAATTGCGCGGTGGGATCTCCTGGGAAACTGTCTTTAAGGGCACGGGTACAGAACAGAGTTGGTAGCTCTTTAAGCACACCCTTCTGCAAGGGCAATGGCTCTCCATCCCCCAGCTGAAGTCGAGCAGAGGAGGCAGGCAACCACCATGGCTGAGCAAGGACTTGCAGCTTAAAATGAGGGAAAAGAGGGAAAGTATAGGAAGTGGAAGCAGAGTTGTGTAGCCTGGGAGTAATACAGGGCTGTTGTCTGTGTGTGTAGAGATAGGATCAGGAAAGCCAAGGCACAGATGGAGCTGAATTTGGCAAGAAACATGAAAGATAACAAGAAAGGGGTTCTACATGTACATAGGCAGGAGGAGACAGGCCAAGGAAAGTGATCCCCTTTTGATAAAAGGTAATGAAGAGCTGGCTTCCTCAGACATAGAAGAAGTTGAAGTGCTCAATAAGTGCTTTGCCTCAGTCTTCACTGGTGGTCAGCCTTCATGTGTCTGCCAAAACCCTGAACCTCTAGGTGAGGGTGCGGGGAGTGGATTCCATCCCAATGTAACAGAGGAACAAGTCCATAGACCTCCTCATGCAATTGAATGTATTTAAGTCCATCAAGCCAGATGATATCCATCCTGGGGTTCTGAGAGAAATGGCTGATGTGGTTGCCAAGCTGCTCTTCATCATATTTGAAAAATCACAGCTGTCTGGTGAAATCCTGGCTGACTGGAAAAAGGGAAACATTACTCCCATTTTTAAGGGAGAAAGGAAGACACAGAGAGTCTCACCTCTGTGCCTGGAAGATCATGGAGCAGATCCTCCTAGAAGGGCTTTGTTAAATCACATATAAGACAAAAAGGTGATCTGAGACAGCCAGCACGGCTTCACCAAGGGCAGATTTTGTCTAAATAATCTAGTGGCCTTCTATGATGGAGTGATGGCATCAGTGGACCGGGGAAGGGTGACGGGTGTCACCTACCTGGACTTCCGCAAGGCCCTTGACATTGTTCCTCACCACATCCTTCTCTCTAAATTGTAGAGGTGTGGATTTGAAGGGTGGACTGTTCAGTGGATTAAGATCTGATTGCTAGCCACAGTCAAAGGTTCACTAGTTGTGTGTCAGGGTGGAGGCCAGTCACAAGCAGCGTCCCTCAGGGGTTGGTCTTGCTACCAGTGCTCTTTAACATCTTCATCAATAGATGTTGATGAGACAACAGATGACACAGACAATGGCATCGAGTGCACCCTCAGCAAGTTTGCTGATGACACCAAGCTGAGTGGTGCACTTGATACACTCAAGGGAAGGGAAGCCATCCAAAGGGACCTGGACAGGCTGAAGAAGTGGACCCATGAAAACCTAATGAGGTTCAACAAGGCTAAGTACAAGGTGTAGCACTTGTATAGGGAAAAACCGGGTATTTATACAAACTGGTAGAAAAACTCCTTAAGAGCAGCCTCATGGAGAAGGACTTGGGGATCCTGGTAGATGAGATGTTGGACATGAGCCACCAGTGTGTGCCTGCAGCCCAGAAAGCCAACCGTGCTCTGGGCTGCATTAAAAAAGGAGTGGCCAGCAGGGGGATGGAGGTGATTGTCCTCCACAAGAGCTACTCAGCTTTTGTGAGGCCACATCTGGAGTACTGCGTCCAGGCCTGGGGCCCCCAGCACAGGAAGGATGTGGAGCTCTTGGAGTAGGAGGAGGGCCAGAGGAGGGCCACTAAGATGATCAGAGGGCTGGAGCACCTCTCCTATGAGGAAAGATTGAGGGAACTGGGCTTGTTTAGCTTGGAAAATAGAAGGCTCCAGGGCGACCTCGTAGTGGCCTTCCAGAACTTGAGGGGAGCTAATAAACAGGAGGGGGAACAGCTATTTATGAGGGTGGACAGTGATAGAACAAGGGGAATGGTTTTAAACTGAGACAGGAGAGGTTTAAGTTAGATATTAGAAAGAAGTTTTTCACACAGAGGGTGGTGACGCACTGGAACAGGTTGCCCAAGGAGGCTGTGGATGCCCCATCCCTGGAGGCATTCAAGGCCAGGCTGGATGTGGCTCTGGGCAGCCTGGGCTGCTGGTTGGCGACCCTGCACAGAGCAGGGGGTTGAAACACCATGATCACTGCGGTCCTTTTCAACCCAAGCCATTCTGTATGATTCTACGATTCCTACAATTGACAGTCCTTTTTCCAAATGTTGTTTGCTGAATAGAGTATGAATAAACCTCTTTTTTTCTGATATATTTATGAAATTACAGCTAGTTCAGAGAACTGCTGTCTGCTTAACTTACACAAAACTGCACTGTACAGTTCCATTAGAATAGCAGTTTGGACTCATTAAGACATACTGATTTTGTATTAACACAATTTAAAGCTCATAATTAAATAATAAAGCTCTGTGTGGCTTAGCCAATTGTAAAGCTAACATTTATTTCAGACATCACCATTGTCCAAAATCTATTCCTCAGTAGGTATGAAACTGTTATCACTAAAGCCATTTCAAATTTCCAAGAATCCTGTAGTGACAGAAGTGTTCTTTAACAGACTGCATAATTTTGAATATTCCTTTTACTACTTACCTGAAATCAGAAAATTCTCCAAATTTGAAATTGCTAATTTTAAAACAAAGTTGGAGACAGGTTTTGGGCAGTCTATTTTATCTTATTGCTTTCCTTCTAGCTTCTCCTTTTTTTTTAATTTTACTTGACAAAATATCTGGATGCTGTATTTGTGGATTTGCTCCTCTCATTATAACTGATTTCTCTGCGGATCTCAGATTTTCATAGGCATTGGCTTGCAAATTTTTAATGAAACACAGCGCAAGCAGGATGGCTTTTGTAGAAGTATCTCTACTATTTATGAATTATGGAACTTGAATAATTAATTCATATCTTAAAGGTAGCTTTTATTCTGCGATAGCTAGATCATTGCTCTAATGAAGCACTTCAGGATTTCATACAACACTGCCCATTAGAGACTGTTATAACATCACACAGTAAAAAATTCAGGGTTTAAAAAAAATAAGAGAAAAATACTACTTAGATCGTAAGATCATTTGCTACCTTACTAAAACAACTGTACGCATGCAAGCTGTAATGCTCAAGTACTCAAAATCCAACCATGTAAGAGATCTGGACAACACCATTCATGGTAGTAAGTACATACTAACCTGAATATACCAAGCTAAAGAAAAAATATCAGATAGTAATATAGTTCTATATCTAAAATTTTGACTTCAAACCAACTTTTCCTTTATTCGGTTCTCACATGGATAGAATCCCCTCTGTCTTTTTTTCCTCTCAACTACCACATGATTTCATTTATATAGGGACTCCAGAGCTTGTTTCGGTTTTTTTTAGCTTTTAGAGAAAAAATAATTGTATCATCTTGTGATTTCTACACAGTTCTCTCATGCAAATCTTATCTTTTGTTCACATCAGCATTATACCGAATGTTGGTTTGGAGCAGGGAAGTCATGCATTCAGAATATATGCATAAAAATCAAATATGTGCACAGAGGTTTCCATTTTCATGATTATTAAGCATGAACTCGTACATCTGGCTCAATCAGATGAATACTGAAAAGCAAAATTTGCATTATCTTCTTTAATTCAAGGTCAGTGTGTTTCAGGTGATTAAAACACTTTTGTGAACGCTGAGTCAAAATATCCACTTTCAACTATCTGAAATATGTTTATGATTGTCATTACTCATTAGAAAAGTGAATTGTGTGAGCACTGATATTCTATACATCATTCAAATGAAAACAAAGTCTCCACCCCGAATAATTTACTTTTTCTAGCAAAGGTCAGAGCAAGGAATAACGATATTAAAACACCATATCTAAAATGACATACAGTCAGAGGCCGTATTACAGTTGGAAATAATGACTAGGTCAAGTTTTTTACTACTGACCCTGGGATCTACTCTCCCAGTGAGGCCTCTTAACATTCCCTTTAAAAATGAACAACCTTTTTGAAGTCAGGCAAATTATGTTTATGTTATGAAAGCAACTTAGATTAAAATCATCAATCGTTTGATGTTCAAATAAAAAAAAAAAAAAAAAGGCAGATTTCTCATTTATCTGTATTTACAGCAAATAGCCAAAGTATATTTACATTGACTGATGTTACTTAGGGGATATGTATTCAGTTTTAGATAACAAATGTCACAGTTGTAAACTACCATTCATTTTCCCCTATGAACCTGCATATTATAGAACTAAGGTTATTTCAGAATGCTATCAAAGCATACAGTTTGTATTAAATCCTCTTCTGTGTACTGGTAATCTCCTGTCCCACATGTGATTCTGAACTGCAGTGGCTACTATTTCTATGTAGCTAGTTTCATTCAAAATTTGAAAAAGTTATTTTCCTTCTGCTTGTCAATGTATACCTTCAGTGCAATGTTCCAAAATTTACTTTCCCACTTGTCAATTTGTTTGCAAATTCATTTAAGTGCTTTGCTCCACATAAGTGCAGTTTGAGGCTCCAGAACAATTCTTAGTCAAGAAAGAGCAATTAATCTATCAGTGTACTTTATTTTTCTCTTATTCTGTGGCTTTCTTTTTTAAGAAAAGGACTCTCTGTGACAATGGAACTAAAATGCATTATTCCATGCTTTCAACAGCCTGATTGAAATTTTTTAGCC